CCTTCTCCAGCTCATTCAAGAGATAAGGAAACTGAGGCAAACATAGTTAAGTGATTTGCCCACTGTCACACAGCTGATAATTGTCTGGGCCAGATTTGAATCTAGGAAGATGTGTCTTTCTGACTCCAGGCCTGGCTCTCTGTCCACTTGCGCCACCTAGCTGCCCTAGGTGCTGACATTAGGGTCCTAAATAATAACAGCTAGCATTTACATGGATTTTAAGTTTTGCAAAAAACTTTACAGACTATCTCATTTGATGCTTGCAATAACCCTGGAAAGGACACATTATGCCCATATTACTCCCATTCTACAGATGAAGAAACTAAGGTCCAGGGAGGTTAAGTGACTTGCCCAGCATCATATAGCTCATGAGTAAGTGGCTAAGGCAGAATTCAAACTGTATTGTGTGGGTAGATGGTTTGCATCTTGAGGGAGGGTCAAAAGAGCGGGGGAAAGTAGAGGGAGGGCTCATTGGCGCCTTCAAATCACTTCAGGAGGCCAAAACCTACTCTCTCAGCTCATAAGTATAGCCTTGGTCAAAGGATCCCCCAGACTCATCACAGATTAGTATAATAGCTGAAACCCCAGGTTTATAATCAGACATCCTGGATTTGAATTCTGAATTTTTCAATTAGCAGCTATTTGACCTTGGGCAGCTCTCTTCTCTCAGTCCTTCTGTTGCCCATCTGGGGTGGGGAGCCTTTGGCCTTGAGGCCACATGTGGCCTTCTAGTTCCTTGGGTGCAGCCTTTTGACTGAGTCCAAGTTTTACAGAATAAATCCTTTCATTAAGGGGATTTGTTCTGTGAAGTTTGGATTCAGTCAAAGGGCCGCACTTGAGAACCTAGAGGGCCACATGTGGCCTCCAGGCTGCAGGTTCTCTATCCCCGTTAGCCCCTCACAGGACTGTTATGAGGATCAAGACACCAAAGGATGCAATCCCTGCCCTCAAGGAACTTACATTCTCTACTCAAATGAAATAATGGATGGAAAAGGGCTCAGTCAGGAGTAAAGTGCTGCACACATACAACGTGGTCCCACGACAAGATGAAAAAAAGGAGAGAGATGAGTGCAGGGAAGTGAGAAGACCTGGATGGGAGGTGAGAGACTCCTGGGGCTGCCCCTCAGTCACAGCAAGAACATCCAACACATTTTTCCTTTTACTGGAACCTAGTTTTATTGGCTACAAAATAAGTGTTTTGGACTGGTTGATGACCATGGGCTCTTCCAACTCTAATAAATAATCTTATGTCCTAAAATTCCTTCCAACTCTGACAAGGAAGCTGGTGTCTAGGACAGTTTGAGGCTGGTGCAGCACTGCCACCTGCTGGCCATATCATCTAAGGGCATCGCCTAACAGTTCTGTCAGGCTTTCCCTCTGGCCACTAAGAGGGATTTGTTCAGGAGGCAAACTGGATCATAGATATAGAATTTAAAAGGACCTTAGAGATCATCCAGTATAACCCCTTTATTTTGCAAATGAGAGGACTGAACCCTAGTGCTTAAACGACTTGCCCAAGGTCACACATGATGGAAGTGGAAGAGATTTGAACCAAAGTTCCTCTATAAAATGAGGGGGTTAGATTTGATGATTTCTAAGCTTCTTTCCACCTCTAAATCTTTAACTCCAAATGTTCTCTCCATTACCCCATGTCCTGTGTCCAGAGGACTCTGCCTTCCATTGGTCTTTTCCCATTTCCCAGCAGGTGACTAAGCCCCTGGGCCCCAAGACTTGTTCATGAGACAAAAACAAAACCCCTGCACAATTTCTGCCAGTGTAAATGAGTGCTTGGAGAGATGCTTGGAGGCAGTGAGAGGTTGAATGATTTGCCCAATGTCACATAGTCAGTAAAGACAGTCAGTATCATCAGCTGGACTTGAACTTAGGTCTTCCTCAATCCAAGACCAGCTCTCTATCCACTATGCTGTGCTGCCCCTCATGTTAAACATGCAGCACTGTAAGGTTTACAAAGTGCTTTAATCACACCACTCTTTTGAGGTAGGTAGTGCAAGTATTTTACAGATAAGGCAAGTGAGATTCAGAAAGGGAGAGTTACTTCCTCAAAATCACACAGTTATCTGGTATGAAACACTCTTTTATTGATGCCAAGGTAAGGACTCTTTCCACAACATGCTGTTACTTCCCAGGACTTAGTTCCTGCTTCCTCCAGCCCACCTTTCATAAAGGGCACCTTGATCCATTATAAATTATACAAGCAAACATGCTTCTCCAGTTGGAAATTACTGCTCTCCTCTAACCTCTTGAAGCAGTAGTAGTAGTAGTTGAGTAGAGACAGAATGTAGTAGAGTGAATTGGAAAGGTTTCTGGACCTGAAGTTAGGAGGACTGGGTTCAAATTCTGGCTCCAAAACTTAGGTGTGTAAATCACCTGTAAAAAGGGGCAATGATTTTTTTCATTCCCCACCTCACAAAATTGTGAGCAAAATGCTTTGTAAAATCACTATGGAAATGTTAGTTAATATGATGATAAGTGTCTGCATCTCCCTTCCCCTAGGAACAATGAACTGGGCAGCCTCATTTTTCTTTAAATTTCCCCCTTCCAGTTAAGGATGGCTTGAGAGAGGCACTGGAGGTATGAAGGAAAGAGACCTTGGCCAGGAGTCAGAACAACCCTCACTCTGCTCCTACTGAGCTATGCTACCATAGGGTAACTCATTTCTCTGATTCTCATGTGTAAAATGAGCTGATCTCTGGGATCCCTCCTGGCTCTGATTTTATGACTGATTTAGTGATTTAGCAAGAGGTTGGGTTGTAACCTTCAGCTTGGGGTTGAAATGTGGGCTCAGTACCCAGATGGGCCAGGCATCTTAGTTCAGAGGAAAACTCAAGTTCATAGGCTGTGGTTAATAAGACTACAGATTCCACCCCCCCACACACACACTTTGCTACCAGGAGAAAAGGTAGCAATACAGATGGCTCAATCTGGTCTCATCTCCAAGATCCTGGAGGGTGCTCAGTACCATAATTGATGAATCACAAAACAAACACAGGAGAGCCAAATGTGGGGAGAAATGCTTCCTTTTGGGGGGCTATTGGACATGGATGGTAGACAGAGGGGTGGGTAGAGCTGAACTCACGTGCAGTACCCAGATGCAGGGTGAGGCTGCCCATTGTCAGGTACATGCACCACCCTCCACAGATAGGTACCGGGTGAAGACAGTCTGGGATCAAAGATTGTTGAAGAGGAACACCTCGGATCTGGAGGAAATGCATACTTTGAGGGAAGAGGCTGCTCATACCTGCTTAAGTTTGGCTCCTATCCCTTTTCATTAACCCCTCATCATGGGAGGGGACCCAGGGCTGAGCAATTTTTACAAGACCCTTTATTTTTTCCTGACCTCTTCTTTGCCAACATCCCCTTAGTACTTAGGTGATAGGAGTAGGGCCTAAAATTGTGATTTCATTGGCATAGGGAACTACTAAGTCAGGAAGCCCCTTCTATTAAGGCAGATCAGGACCTTCACTGAAACAGAATAGTTTTTCCCTCAGAGGTCCTTAAGATTGCATCTGTTTATTTTAAAAGATACATACATACATGTATACATACATACATAACAACATTTCAATATAATTGGTTTCCTTTCTAATATCATTTTTTATGCATTTAAAATTTTTCTGAGAAGGTAACTATAGGATTCATCACACTGTCATAAAGGTCTATTGTATATACGCATAAGATTTTTTTTTTTTGGTGAGGCAATTGGGATTAGGTGACTTGTCCAGGGTCACACAGCTAGTAAGTGTCAACTGTGTGGTCTGAGGCCGAATTTGAACTCAGGTCCTTGTGACTCCAGGGCACCACCTAGCTGCACCCCATGTACATAAGATTAAGAAACCTTAATCTAGTTTAACCATATCATTATTTTACAGAGTCAAAATGAAAGTCCAGAAGGTAAAGTGATTTTTTTTAGGTTATACTTGTGTAGCCATGCAAAACATATCCATAATAGTCATGTGAAAGAAAACAGAAAAAAAAAGCCAGAAAAATAAAATAAAAAACATGCTTCAATCTGTATCCGGACACTATCAGTTCTTTCTCTGGGAATGGATAGTATTTTTCACCATAAATCCTTCAGAGTTGTCTTAGATCATTGTATTGCTGAGAATAGCTAAGTCATTCACAGCTGATCATCTTACAATATTGCTGTTACTTTGTACACAGTACATTTTACTTTGCATCAGCCCATGAAGTCTTTCCAGGTTTTTCTGAGAGCATCCTGCTCATCATTTCTTATAGTACCATAGTATTCTGTCATAATTACATACCACAACTTGTTCAGCCATTCCCCAATTGATGGGCATCCTCTCAATTTCTAAATCTTTGTCCCCCCCAGAAAAGAACTGCTAAAAATACTTTTGGAACATATAGGTCCTTTTCCTTTTTGTTTTTTATCTCTTTTTGGATACAGACCTAGTAGTGATATTGTTAGGTCACAGGGTATGCATGGTTTTATAGCCCTTTGGGCATGGTTCCAAATTGCTCTACAGAATAGTTAAATCAGTTCACAACTCCACCAATAGTGCATTAAGGTCTCATTTTTCGCACATCCCCTCCATTTGTCTTTTACCTTTTCTGTCCTATTAGCCAATCTAATACATATGAGGTGGTACCTCAGAATTGTTTTAGTTTACATTTCTCCAATCAATAGTGAGTCAGAGTATTTTTTTATATGACTATAGATAGCTTTGATAACTTCATCTGAAAACTGATCATATTTTTTGATCATTTATCAGTTGGAGAATGGCTCTTATTTTTATAAATTTGACTCAGTTCTCTATATGTTTGAGAAACAAGGCCTTTATCAGAGAAACTTGCTTCAAAATTTTTCACACAGTTACTACTGCTAACTGTATTTCCCTCCATCCTATCCCCCCCCCCATTTATTCTAGTTTCTCTCTTCTATCACCCTGTTCCTCCTCAAAAATGAAACTGAATAGTTTTACACAGTTGCCTAGAGCCCTGAGAGGGTGAGTGACTTCCCCAGAACAAAGCATTCAGTATGTATCTATCAGGGAGAGGACTCTACCAGCCTCCTGGCTCAGCTCTCTATAAACCATACCTTGCTGCCTTTGTACAGAGCTCAGGTGAGTATGATCCAGCTCAGAGACAATGCGGGGAAACTCCCAAGATTTAGAGTCTGACAGCCCTAGGTTCAAATGTTGGCCCTGCTACTCACCATATGGGTGACTTTCAGCATGTCTCTGAGCCTTGATTTTATCTTGAAATCTTTTCTTAGCTCTGAATCCCGTGGTGTTACTTCTAGAAAGCCTTCCAGCTGCTAGACCTCATTCTTCTTTCCAGTCTCAGAGCCCAAAGAGCAGGTAAGACTTGGTGCTTTCATTGGCTAATTGTGAGGCTTGTGTCTGCAGCTTGGGAACAAGTCACTTGACCTCTCTGGTCATGCCGCCCCCCGCCCCCCAGGCCTGGATTCAATGGGCTCTCCAACTCTGACTTTCTACTTTTGAGGGCTCATTCTAACTCTGAGATTTCATGACTCCGTGATTCCCTAGGCCCTACTCCCTCATTTTACACCACACCCTTTCCTTCACCCCCAGCTGTTTCTTTTTTCTCTCCCCTTTCCTAATCTGCAGCCCCACTTCTCAGGTCCAGGTTTATCCCCTAGCTCACGGTCTGTGTTCTTCAGGGACTGCTTCTTCTGAGATGGCTTGGAGATGACCTTGATGAGGCGACTGTGGAAGGTACCTAGCTCTTGGCCTCCTTGCAACACCAGCCTTAACACCAACCGGAAGTGCTTTCTCTTGTCCGAGTCCGAGATAAAGAGAGCTTTGGCGCAGGCGAATTCCTAGCCAGTCGGCGAAGTGGGCAGCTTTGCCTTTGTCCTGGGGCCAGCAGGCTCAGTGAAGCCTTGGCTACCCAGTTGAGGATGGCTTAAAGAGCCCCCAACCCAAGCTCTCCCAGTCACCCTGGCCCCCTTGGACTGCCCAGGTAGGTCCCCTTCCTCCCTAAGCCCACACCAGTCCCTCCCGTCCAGGTCCCTGCCCAAGGTCATTGTCTGGGGGAGGAGGAAATGCAGCACCCCCGGCCCCCGACAGTGGAGATGTGGGGCTCTGCTCAGCTTTCCCCTCCTCACTCTAGAGTCCGGTTGCTTCTCAAAGCTCAGCTTTTGCGCCTCCGCGGAACCGCCGTCCAACCCCATGTAACCGCAGACCGTGCATCCAGCCTCCCCAGTCTCGTTTGCTAGAATACACCGCAGGTGACTGATGAGACGAGGTTGGAATGTACCATACAGCGTACTCCTGTGCAGTGGACTCAAGGGGGCGCTGTGGAGCTGCGCCTTCACCGTCTCGTCCCTGCTGACTCCCAACCCCTGGCTGGATCTGGGAGAAGTTGTGGAGTTGGTCCTACTTCTCCCACTCACCTTGCCCCTGTTCCGGCTTCAGCCTCCAGCCTGGGCCCGTGAGATACACGCAGGGCGGCGGACAGAAGAACCTACGTGGAGAGGCTGTTGTCACCTCTGGGCCAAGGGAAGGACCGACTGATAGGGGCGGGGAAGTGCTTGGATATGTCCCAAACTGTTCCGAGTCCTCAGAAAGAATCTTAGAAATTATTTAGCCTGGTACAAAGTGGAAAGAGCCCAAGACTTGGGAGTCCAAGGAAATGAGTTTAGATCCTAGCTCTGAAACTTAGTAGCTCTGTGACCTTATCAAGTCACTTCTCTCTGAGTCTCAGTTTCCTCATCTAGGTCTACACCTACTTCAGTGAGGTTTGTAAATAAATAATTGGTTATATAAATGGGAGGGTTCTTTCTATCTTTATTTTTTACTGCTACCCAATAAAGTTCATATTACCCATGACAACTTGGCTAATAAGGAACGGAAGAAAAATATTGGATCGGAAGAGGTGGGGCCACTGTATTTGGAAAAGGAAAAACAACCGATTCACACCTGGAGCACTGCCTAAGTATTCCTGAAACATTTGAAAGACCTAGAGGGAAACCTCAAAGGTAGGTCCCTCTGTAGAGGATTTATGGAAGAACAGGGACAAGAGTCCCAGAATGAGAAGTGGTGGATAGGTTACCATTTGTATGTATCAACTGAAGTATCAAGGGATAAAAATTAAAATTCACCTGACATTAAAGGCCCTCCACAATCTGAAGGCACCCTAACTCTTCAGCATGATCTCTGCTTTCTATTCTCCATGCATTGTAGATTCCAACCAAAGTAGAAGTCTTTGCTTCCCTAGGATATCTCATCTTCTCTCCCTTCCATGCCTTTGGTCTCATTTCCCTATGTCTGCAATGCCTCCTTCCCCTACTTCATTTGTTATTTTTATTAACAATATATCCTTTTAAGCCCAATTCAAATATCAGCTCCTCCTGTAAGTACCTTGAGGGCAGGTACTTGTTTTATTTTTTGTATTGGTATTTCCAGCAATGTGGGCAGGGCTTGGCATAGGGTATGATCTTAAGAAACATATATGATAGTAGCTTTTTTGTGGTGGCAAACAATGGGAAACTGAGGGGATACCCATTAACTGGGGAATGGCTGGACAAGTTGTGAATGTAATGGAATACTAGTGTTCTGTAAGAAATGACGAGCAGACAATTTCAGAAAAACCTGGAAAGACTTACATGAACCGATGCAAAGTGAAATGAGCAGAACCAGGAAAACATTATATACAGTAACAACAACATTGTGCTATGACAGCTCTGATAAACAGCTCTTCTCAGTAATGCAAGGATCTAAGACATCTCTAAAAGACTCATAATGGAAAATGCTATCCATATCCAGAGAAAGAACCATGGAGTCTGAATGCAGATGGAAGCATACTATTTTCTCTCTTTTTTTTCTTTCTCAAGGTTTTCCCCTTTTGTTCTGATTCTTCTTACACAACATGACTAATGTGGAAATATATTTAATATCATTGTACATGTATAGCCTATATCAGATTTGCATGCCATCTTGGGGAAAGGGGAGGGGAGGGAGGAGGAAAATTTGGAACTCAAAATCTTATAAAAAGAAATGTTGAAAGCTATAAATAAATAAATAAATAAGATTAAAAAGACAACAAATGAAAGTGAATCTTGAAAACTAAAAAGAAAAAGAAGTGCTTTCCCACTATGGTCCTTGCATGATTTATTTTGTCCTTATTTTGTGCTACTTCATTGCACTCAATGATGTTAATTACTTTTTGTGTTTGCCTTATTCCCTCTACTAACACTAGGAGAGGGAAGTGCTATTTTATGGCAAATGGGCCTGTGCTCTGTACAGAGCAGGGGCTTAACACAAGTTTGTTGAATGAATGCATGAACTTATTTAGTTGACAGGTGAGAAATTACTTACCTAGGTCACAGGGAGTCAGTCCAATGGGCTAGGTGCAGCCTGGGAGTACTGCAGGTTACAGTTAGAATGGGAAAGGGAGAGAGGTGAGAAGGGGCTCCCCAGCTTTCCTGCCACCTTTTCCCACTTTTCACTTCCATAGAATTTCTAGGCCACTTTGGTTCATACAATCCCACACATTCCTTTCATACTGTCTGTAGATATTTTCGAATCCAGTCTCTCAGACCCAATGGTTCTGGGGGTGACCTGGAACCAGTAGCAAGGATCCATGAGAAACGGACTTGTCTCAAAATTTTATGTCCACCCTGGAGCCCTGGGTAACCAGAGGTAGGCATTGACACAGGTTGTGGTCTAAATATTTGGGCTGCTGGGTGTTGAATGGGCCCTTCACAGAGCCTCAGCACTGGTCGACCCAAGGTGCAACCATGCAGGCTTCCCCAGCTGCTGTGGCTCAGTCCCAGACTAGGCCAGTGCAGAGGAAGCAGGGACTGCACAATAGCTGCTTTCGTGCTCAAATGTCACATCCCTTTTGCTCCAGCCCTACCCACCGCTATTCTCCAGGCCAGAGAGAGTTGATCCAGGGGCGAAGGGGGTGAGCAAGGGTGTTGGGTGGTCAGTAAATGCCTGTGAAAAAGGTTAAATTGTTCCTGCTCATACTTCTCTCTGTCTCCTCCCTCTCCCTGCTGCCTCCCAGTGGAGAATGGTCCCATAGCACAAAGTACCGAATTGGGGGTTTGGGAATTGTAGCAATATTTTTACACATCTCCCTTGTTAGACTACTACTAACAACCAGATTCTCCTACCTATTTTTAAAAAATTTTTGTCTCCCATGCTTTTTATTATTACTTTTTAAAATTAATTAATTTTTAGTTTTCAACATTCACTTTTATAAGATTTTGAGTTCTAAATTTCCTCCCCTCCTCCCTCCCCAAGATGGCATGCAATGTGATATAGGCCATACATGTACAATAATAAATGCTACTACCTCTTGTGGTGAGGTCTGGAAACTTGAAGCCCAATCCCCACCTCTGCCCCCTCATACATTTTCCTACTTCTTCACTTCCATTCTCTGGCCTTAGGGAGGCCAGGGGGCTGGGGCTTAGTGGGCATGGGGGTAGATGAGTGCTGGAGCCCAGGGGCCTAAGAAAGAGGAACACCCCCCCCCCCCATGGCAGGATTAGTGTCCCAGATCCCATGCCAGATAGGTCTGACAGAAAAGGATGCCGTTGCATCCTCCACACTCGATTCCACTTAGATTTTTTGTGAAGAAGTTCAGGGAGCATCCCATGATCATTTTGCTGGAGCTAGTGTAACCTGACGTGGGACTGGGGGGGCGAGGAGCAGAGGGAAATAGGATAGTTTTGCGAATTCAGCTCAGATGTCTCGGCTGCATCCGGTCACAGATGTGGGGAGCCGTATCGTCCTGCCCGCTAGGAAACACTGCGATATGGGAGCTTGGGGTGGGGGGCGTTTCCGGGGCTCACATGCCCTAGGGGTAGGGGTCAAAGGAGTCTTGGTGAGACTGAACAAGGCTGGCTCTCCTCTACACCTCCCCAGCTCCCCGCGCTTAAAACACTGCCTGACATATAGAAGTTGCTCAACATTTATTGACTAACTGCCTGGAGTCTGGGATCATCCGCTCAGGTCCTATAGACAGGATTGCGCCCTGGGAAATATATAGTGCTCCTGTTCTCTACCCAGATTGCCTCAGGAGCCGTCTAATGGAGCCAGGTGATATTAGAGTTTTCCTGCAATCCCACAGAAATATAGCCTACTCTGGCAATCCTCCCCTCCCTCGGTTGCAGAGCTAGACTCGCAGGCAGAGGACCAAGTTTCAGTGCGTCTGGGCTTCTCTCTGTGGAGAGCGTAGTGAGGACTCCCCCAACCCACCCACCAAACACACACCGAACACACACTGAACACTCCCAGCTCCTCTGCTGGGCCTACGCTGTCTGGGGTGGGGGCTTTCTATTTCAGTAGGACCCGAGCCAAGTAGCCAGCTGGAGTTCCTCCTTGGTCCAACAGAACAAGGGACCCGGACGGTCGGTTTCATCTGCTCTCTGACCCTTGGAGCTCTCCAGCAGGCAGGCTGGAGTGAGTGAGTGGTTCTGGGGACAGCAAAGGGTCTGCACGAAGGGCTCAAGTCTTTTAATCCCGAGAAAGACCACGTATAGGGTCTGTCCTTAGACTCTAATACAGTATGTCCCTCAAGAAAACCTTCCCCCGTTGATGGTGATTTTCTTACTCGTGGTGGTGGTGGAAATGACCCCTTTGTCTTAGCGAGAGATTCTTTGCTGATGTTTTCCCATAACCCCAGGGACATTGCATAATGGTATTTATTCTAGATCAGCCTCGACGCTACAGGTGACCCTCTAGGTCTTCAAGTGCAGCCCTTTGACTGAATCCAAACTTCATAGAACAAATCCCCTTAATTTGTTCTGTAAAACTTGGACTCAGTCAAAAGGCCACACCGGAGCATCTAGCCTAGAGGCTGCAGGTTCCCCACTCCTGTTCTAGATCTTACCATTAGTGGGGAACCCTCATGGGTATTAGTCTAACTTTATCTCAGGGTCTACACAGTTAGTGAAATCAGCTTGTCAATCTTCTAAAGTCCCAGAAACCAAACAGACCTTACCCCTTATCTAATGGACTATGTGACTTACACAGTCCACTTTTCTTTTCTTTTTTTTTTTTTGGAGGTAATTGGGGTTAAGTGACTTGCCCAAGGTCACACAGCTAGTTAAATGTGTCTGAGACTGGATTTGACCTCATGTCCTCCTGAGTTCAAGGCCAGAGCTCTATCCACTGGGCCACCTAACTGCCCCACACAGTCCACTTTTCAAAAGAGAATCCCTAAATCATTCCTTCAACCTACAGGATTCCTTCAATCTGTCCCTAATGAGAGGGAACCCCATTTTTTCTCCTAAACCCGGAGATCTCTCATACATGTCACCCACATCAGTCTCAATTATCTGTGATACCCATCCTCCACAAACAAGTACCTCTTCTGAATGATTGTAGGGGAAAGAGAACAGGCCTGGGCAAAGCAGTGTCAGGAGACCTGGCTTCTAGTTCAGTCTCTGCCCTCAAATGTGATATGGCCCAGTCACTTTCCTTCTCTGAACCTCAATTTCCTTTTCTATAAAATGAAAGGATTGGACTAGACAGCTTTGATACTCTGTAATTCTCAAAGCCATAGGAAAGGTAGAGACCAGATGGCAGGGCAGAGCATCATGGTTCCATGTTAGGGCAGGGAATTGGCTTGTGGAGAGATCATGGGGGACCTTTGGATGACCCAAAAGTGGTTCCATATGGGTCTCTTGATCTTAGATGGAAGCCTTGGTTGGTAGAATAAGGAAAGGGTGAGAACGACTGAATCATAGATCCTTAGAATATTAGTGCTAGAAGTGCTAGAATAGCTGGAAGAGATCTTAGAACGTGGAATTCTGGAGCTGGATGATTCCTTCAAAGTCCAGCCCCCTAATTTCGAAGAAGGGGAGACAGATTCAGAGAGGGGTAAGGACTTTTCCAAGGTCACACAGCAAGTTAGTAGATCTCCTGACTCCAGTTCAAAGGGTCCTTCCACTAGACTAAATTTATTCTTAAGGAAAGCAGTCAAGAGACATGAGAAGGGAAGAGGAAAGGATGACTGCATCACTCTCAGAGCTGAGCCTAGCACCCCCCAGGATGCTGTTGCTTTTCCCCAGCCCAAACCTCAGGAGCTCACTAGCCCTGGCACTTCCCCTGAAGCTTGCACATCTGGTTTCAATCCGACTGTACCTGACCTCCCACAGCATGACCATAAAGGGGCTCCATGAGAACAGATCAGCCAGCTATTATTTGGGGGCTTTTGAAACTGGTTGAACAAAGAGTCTAGGATGCCCCTGAAAGCCTAGTTAAAAATAGCTGCATCCACCAACTCAAAAACTGGGGCTAGGGAAGCAGGACAGAGCTGTGAAAGGAGAGGGGCAGGATCTGAGCCAGTCTTTTTCTCTCAGAAAACAAACAAACAAACAAACAAACAAACAAACAAACCCCAAAACAAAGAAACTTGGAATGTGGGGCCACTGAGTATACTCTGGCTGGCCTGGAACTTTCACCTCAGCCCTGAGTGGAGGCTGCTCAGCCGGACAACAGTTTAGCATAGGCATAGAGTGAACAAAGCTTCCCAATTTAAAATTGTGAGTAGGCTCAAGTGCAGAAAG